ATATATATATATATATATATATATATATATATACATATATATATATATATATATATATATATATATATATATATATATATATATATATATATATATATGTATGATATATATATATATATATATATATATATATATATATATATATATATATATATATATATATATGTATGTATATATATATATATATATATGTATATATATATATATATGTATATTTATAATTTTTTTTTTTTTTATTTGATTGTTTTATTTTGTCTTTTCCTTTTTGTAATTATTTTTAATCTTTTGTAATTATTTTTAGTCATTAAATAAATGAGTATTACAATGAGAATCCATCAAAATGAGAATTTACATTAAGTATTTTTATGAAATTTGGTAAGGGCAGATACACTTATTTAGAACAGTTATACCAGAATTAAATCTACAACGTTTATGAACTTGAAATAGCCTTTATTTGTTAATGTCATAATGAACACTACTGTAGCTTTAGTGTATGGCAACCCACCCACTTTCCCTTCCATTCCATCTCTCTTTGCCCGCGCACAAATACGAGGTTTATATAAGTTTCTAACTATTTATATATTTAGCACTCTATATAAGTTTCTACATAAAAAAACTTGAGTTTAGTTTTTGTTGGAAATTAAAAATTAGGCAACAACAAATCACCGTTTATATACTTGCTTTACAAATTTGCCCGAATTTATGACAGAAAACGTTTAAGTTAAGCACATTACTTTGTAATTTTCCCTAAACAAAACAGTGACATTTTGTTTTAGGAAAATATCTCGTATAATCACAATGCACACAGCCAATCAGCCTTTTTTTAAATGAAAAAAAAAAGTTTTTTTTTCTTTAAATAATTTATGAAAAGAAAAAAGAAAAAGAACAGAAAATAAGTCAAAAAAAAAAAAAAAAGAAGAAAAAAAAAAGTCTGAAAAAAGAACATTAAAAAAAACATTTTTTTAAAATTGTTTTATTATTGTTATTAATTATTTATAAAAATATTAGTGTTTTAGGTGTTTGTATAAGATTAGAAACATTAAAAAATTTTATATACATATTTTAGTATATATATCATTTAGATTATTAGTTATTTATCAAAAAAACTGATTATAAATGACTGTGAAATTATTAACGACGTAATAATTGCTAATTCGTTTAACCTTTAATTTGTTAGCACAGGTCCAAGTTTAGCTTTAAAAAAAAAAAAAAAAAAAAAAAAAAAAAAAAAACTTACTTTAAATCATACCTAAACTCTAATAATACAATGGACAATAATATGCTAACAGAAACAGAATTGCTTGATGCTATGTACTTACTTAAACCAAATAAAGGTAATGGAGTTGATGATGTAAGCAGTAATGTAGTAATTAAATCAATGCCTTCAAAATCAAAATTTCTGCTTTTTGCATATATTTACGGGTAAACTAAAATGTAACTAAAAGAAAATTTTAACCTCTTATCCAAACTCTGACATTCGGTATAAACTGCACAGTAATCAATGCAAGCCAAGTGAAGAAACTTAAAACAACTATAATTATTTTGTGAAGCCCCTATCAGATATTTTGAAATCATTTTTTAAATTTCATCCAAAGAAAAACAATTTTGATCTAAACGTTAAAATGAATTAACACAAGTTTTATTTCAGAAACAATAGGCAATCAGGACCTAAAAAGAGAAACCACTTTAAATTTTCTCGGCGTGCTTTTGATGAAAATGTAACGTGAAAACTGAAGCTTACCTTTTATACCAGCATATACCTGGAAATACTTTTTTGTAATATAGTTTTTTTGTACTAATTACTTTTTTTCCCTTTTGTTAAATATTTCTTTAAATTATCTTTAGAAAGATAATTTAAAGAAATATTTAACAAAAGGGAAAAAAAAATTTAACTTATATTATATAGTGTTACGTTTTTTAATTTTTGCTGTTTTATATTTACGGTATAGACAAAGGGGCTTGGTGATAAGACAAATTATGTCTTCTTCTTGCCCCTGCTATTTGTATTTATATTATGTTTTACGACTTGAATAAATTTATATGGCAACAAAAAAAAAAAGAGAGATTTATTGATTGTATTAAATCTGAACAGCCGTTTAATAATAGTAGTAAATCCTTTCTTCAATATTGTTTGATCCAACTGTTGGATGTTTAATCAGTTACTATTTCTGCTAAAAAATATGCTTTGACTGATGTTTAGCACCTTTCTACAAGTGTTTATCATAAAGACATAAAACTGAAACGCTATTTGCAAAATTTCAACACCACGTTGAGAAGACATAGTAATCGAGAAGACAATAATGGTAACGGGTCTAATGAAACAAAATTGAATGAAAATGAAAAAAAACTGAAAATGAAGTTGTGTGAAATAGGATCATGTTATCTGGGTCGACGGAAATAAATTCATTTTCCCACTAATGAAATTGTTTGCTGAATTCAAAACTGAAATATCTAACGAAGAATAATCTTATTCAGCATGAGGAAGTTTCAAGTTAAAAAAAGATATAGAAAAAATTTTAAACATAAAATTTTTAACAGCATCAAAATGCGCTAATATTTGCTGACTTAATATCGTATTTCAATGACAAAACTGTAATATCTAGTTTGATAAGTCAAGACTAACATATGTTTTTTTTTTTTTTTAATTTTTTTAAATTTATTTTTTAGGTGCACCAAGAAGACCCAACGGTCTTGTCACAGAGCACCGCAGGTGTGCATTCAACCAGGAAGTTCACGCCTTCTTCCTTACTGTGACGCAAAATATGCCCAAAGCTTGTTTCAAACCTGCATCTCCTGCTTTTAAAACAAACGCTCATTGCGCCACGGCCGCAAAATCACGGTCAAGATGATTTGATCAGTCAAGACCAACATATCTGGTTTTGATCAGTCATGGCCAACATATCTGGTTAGGTTAGTCAAAACCAGTATATCTGGTTTATTCAGTGAAAACCAACATATCTGGTTTGATCAGTCAAGACCAACATATCTGGTTTGATCAGTCAAGACCAACATATCTGGTTTGATCAAGAACTTCGCAAAAGTAGAAAGAATAGCGGTCTTAAAACAAATAATAGACGCGAGATTTTTCTGATTAGAATTTTTTCGTTTAGAGAATACAAAGAACATCAACATTGCAAAATGTGATGGTAAAGATACAGCTAATAACATATTATAAAGAGTTGTTACTTACTAACCAAATATAAAGAGTTGTTATTTATTAACCAAATATAAAGAGTTGTTACTTACTAACCAAATATAATTTAACTTTAGACGATTATCTTAAGAATGAATTCATTGATTATGGTTGAAATTTGAGAAGCATAAAGTTTAAGCAAATTATTATTTTTTTGTACATCATGACTGCTTATATAGTCATGATGTACAAAATTATTTAATTCAATTACTTGCTTCTGAAATTTTAGCAAGGATTAATGATGAAGTTAAATAAACCCAGTTTTTTTTTTAATTATTGATTCTACAATGGATATTTTCAGAACTGATCAGATGTCATTTTTTGTCACAATTGGTTTTAAAATCAAATGATGTTGTGAATTTATAGCTTCTATACTTTAGAAGCCATGATGCAGCTGCATCATGGCTTCTTCGTAATGCATGATGCAGGATGAAGAAGTCATGATGCAGCATTTACTGAGTTAATTTTATCTGAGCTTGAAAATGAATATAAAGTGGCCTTCAAACTTGGATAAAAATAAATTCACTAAAATTCAATAATGTGCATTGTTGCGGTGAATAGAAACATATTATACCAATCCTAAAAGTTTTCAACGTTGTTTATCATTAATATTACTAATATAAAACATTCTGAGTATTTTCCTTGTTTGTAGAGGTCATTTTTTAATTTGGAATTAATATTGGGGGAAATAAATTTAAATGAAAAATAATGCTTTCCATCTCATTCCTTTTATAAGGGTTTCAGCTTTCTCCACTAATTATAAACTCTTTAACAGTAAACACTATAAACTCTTCTTCCAATGGTACCAGGAGATTTTTGATTGAACAACTAAAGTTTATTTTCTATATCTTGAACACCTTTGATTCGAATATTAACTAAACAGGGCGTATATATTCTTGTATTACATTATGTTATATCCTTGATTATAGCAATCATAAGTTCACGACAATGGAAATACTTATCTAAATGTTCATGTTGAGAGAATACAGGAACAGGCGTAGACGGACCATCTACATTGTAAACCTACAACGGAATGATATTGAACATCTCAGCTTTGAAATTGTGTTAATAAAAGATAAAGGGACTTTATTTTCTGATTAAATACTAGTAAATTGATAATAATATTCAAAAACATTTTTTTTTTGATGCCGGCTTATCAAAATTGTTGCATACAATAATATCTGAATCAGAACTAAATGTCGTCATTGGCTACGCTGTCATATTGATATTGCGTTACTTTACTAATATTGTCTTAATTTATTTATGAAATTTTGAGTACAAAGTTTAATTCTCTAGATAATTCTTAATAAATACAATAGTTATTTAATCACACGCTTAAATTACTGCGTGTGATTAATTACTATTATAATAATGATTACTGCGTGTATAATACACGCATAATTTTAACACACCGAGTTCACAGTAGTACAATAGGTTTATACAGTAAAACATGTAAAACATTTATATCATAAAACACGTTCCGTAGAATAATCACAAACAAAATATAATCTGGTACAATCATCCATATAGTAAAAATATTGCAGTAAAAATTAGACTACTTTTTTTTAACTCTTTTCCCTAAAAATCACTATCATAGCTCTGAACCACGTGCTTTTGTTTTCCTCATAAAAAAATTATTTAATATGAATTGAATGGAATTAAATTTTGGAATGGAATTACTTCAAAATGGATTAAAGCCAGCTTAACATGAAGAGATATAAGTTTATACACATTAACTAACTAAAAAGTGTTTTCAAATATCTTTTTAAATCAATATGTCAAAAAGCAGTGTAAAGTGATATTTGTCAGAAGTATGAACCGACTTTGATTAAACTTATTGAAACATTTAATTTTTTTTAACAGCCTAACTAGAATCACACAGCTGACACTTACGTTTATTTAACTTTACTCCCAAAAAAATAAACACAAAGTGGAAAAGGTAAACTGTTAAACTAAATAGATATTTTTAAAGTATAAAGTATTGTTCGGTTAATTTGCACCATAACCAATGTTTGTGAATGCCATTATCTTCTTTTTTATATTCGTGAATTTTATTAATGTAAACTTTAGTTTAATTTAGAATGCTGTAGCAGAAATATTTTTGTAGCTTTTCTGAAAAAATAAATAATGTTAATATTCTTTAACGCTGGAAAAAAATCAAACAGTTTAGTAACTTTATTTTATCCGACGGCGGCTTTGATTAAATCGTATATTGTCAGATCTACAAAATATTGCGTAGCTTGTCAAATTAAAGAAGTTTTTTACATCATAGGAAAAAAGATTGGAAATGCAGCAACATAAACTTTTTTCTTTTAAATAATTAATTTATTTGACAAACTGAATTCAATTTAAGCTTGAAATTAATTTTGTCTATAAATCATATGTAAAAAAAAACTCTGTCTGGTCTTGTGGTTTATACTGCAACTTTTTTTTTATTAGTAATATAATAAGATAGTTTGTAATTGATTACTTAGATAAAATGTATTGTCAATTTTGCGTCCAATAGAACTGTAACTAAGTAATAAAAGACTTAAATGTCGCGTCCAACACCAGAGCAGAGATAATATTCATAACTTTGTTTCAAAATGCCAATGGTGGTTTAAAAACTTGTTGTTTGTAAGTTTACTTTAATTAGTTAGAAAAAGAAAATGGTGAAAAAAGAAAAGTGAGACATTAAAGAGTGGGTGTTTTTTTTGAATGAAACAAGAGTGGGTGTTTTGTTAAATGTATTTTATTTAACTTGCGTCACTATTTTATTATTTTTCCATTCTTTATATAATAATGTCAAATAGGAAAAATGTTGTACTCGTTAAAATAAAATTTTTAAAAGTTCTATTTAGTTTGTTTTAATTTTTTAACTATATTTAGCAGCCATTTAAGTTAATTAGAATACAAACAAGTGCAGTCAAAAGGAGGCAATAAGTGTTTTTTCAATAATGCTAGCAATGGAATTAATGTTAATTATCAAACATGCATGAAAATACGGTGAGAATTCAAATGTCTTTCAACTTTTACTCCATTTGAGATTTTAAAGAGTTTTTTAAAGAATTTTTTTTTAAAGTTGTAAGGGTTGAAAGCAAAAAAAATATTTTATATTTTAGAACAAAAATTAATTTGCAACTTCATAAACTTGATATAAATACAGCATGACCTTAAACGACGTACACCAGTCATATTGTTATCTACTTCTTATTTTATTTTAGTAATATCATTTTCATCTTGTCGCATCTATTTGTTTATATTTAACTTTAAATACAACATTAGTCCTAAAGATGTGAACTACTTATGTGACATAGATCTATTTAAAAAAACGACTTTTTGAAAACGTCGGACCACGTATCAATTTTACATTTCTTAAGCAAATACTTAAATGACGCATTAGCTCTTCAAAGAAAAAAGGGAAAAATATCTAAAAACACATTCTTTTTTTGCCAAGTAGTAGTTACATCTTTTTAAATATGTTAAAATAACTACATCTGTTTAACTGCATCTGTGGATTCTATAGATGCAGTTAAACATCATTTAAATTAAATTAAGACAAAACTACAGAATTTTTTTCAGATGTTAAATTTGTAAAAATTTATTAAATGATATTGTATTATTTTAACCAGATGTAGTTACTTATAAGGTTTATTTCAGAAGTAATTACATTTGGCGGAAATTCTTCCAGATGTTATTGGATTTGGAGAAAAAAATACTAAATGTAGCTACATTTTCCAAAAGATGTTGTTAAGGGTCGTTGAATTTCCAGATGATATTAGACAGATGTTGTTGGAGTAAAAAAAAAATACGGATGATTTTGAACAAAAGTATATAGACAGATGTAGTAATCTTTTACCAGTAAAATAATAATAATTTTCTACTAATATTTTTATAATAATCATTTAAAAAAACATCTTTCTTGGTTTAAATTTTTGTACCGTTTAATGTAGTTTCGTTTTATTTGTTGTTGTTTTTTATAGTTTTAATGCAGTTTTTTTTTTGTTGTTGTTGTTATAAACATTGCGTAATAAAGCGACCCTAATACTCTAAAACTTACAAAATTTGTAAATTTTAAACTGTAATATGAAATGTAAATTTTTAACAAATATTTTAAAAATTTATATTTAAAATATGTAAATTTTAAACTGAATTTTTTAAAACTTTTTTTAGCGTATTTAAAATAGATAATTAAAACATATAACCTAAATTTCAAAAAACAGTATTTTTAAACTGTTGGATAAATGAAATTTTTACTTACACCTTAATAAATAACTTTAAAATGTTAAACAATTGTTAAAAAATGGTTAAAAAAAAGGAGTTTTTTTTAAAAAAAAAAAAAAAAAATGATTTTTCGATATTTAAAAAATATAATGCTGTAATTATCTATTTTAACTATGGTAAAAGTTTTTAAAAATTCAGTTTAAAGTTTAAATAATTTTATTGGTTTCTAGATTAGTATAAAAAGACGTGATTAGCATTTATTTATTTCCATCTTAAGTATTATTTACTGATTAAATAAGAATTTAAAGTTTATTTAAAAATGTTTTAATTCAATTATGTTTTCCTTTTTAATGTATTTAATAATTCATTACTTATACAATATCATTATGCTGTAATGTTTACCCGACAAGAAAGGATATGTGACCCACATGTGGTCCGTGTGGATTAAAAGTTCAAAAATGTATTACAGTTAATGAATGACGTATTTGATGAAGATAAGTGTGGCCCACTTAATGTGGAACACATAATGCGGTTCACATAACTATTCCACTTAATGTGGCATTATCCTTAAATAAATATGTGCTAAATTTGATGTGGCTATCATATAGGCCATACATATAAAACTCACGATCTTGCCTTATTTTTGAATTTTAAATTTTAACCAATTGTCGCAATGCTTTGTAAACTCTAGAATATTCCATGATATCATGTGACTTACCGTTTTAATAATTTTCAATTTATAACTGTTGTAAGTATGTTTGAGAGATAAAAATAAATACATATAAAAAAAAAGTGTAAATATATAAAATAAAAAACAAAAACCTAGGTGTGTTAAGACTTCTACTTATTGTAATAATATTATAATAATTATACTGTATAATATTATATAAATCTGTAAATGTTTATAATTTTGTAAAAAAATAAAAAATAAAAAATAAAATGTTTGAGCGGTTTTGTAATGAATATATTAGAGAATTGTTGTTCTAAATAAAATTTGTAAATCAGAGTTATACTTAACGATTACAAATTTAAAGTTATACTTAAACAACGTTATATTTTAAAATAGCGCAAATTTCCGCAACCGCAAATAAATTGTATAGTAATGCGTCACTAAAAATAAGTATAGGTAAACAAACAAACACACTTTTTAATTGAGGAGTATTATATTTTCTGCATTAATTTAAATTTTTTGAACTAAAAAAATAGGTTTTAAGAAAAAACCTGCCTGGAAAAAATCCCCCGAAATAATCTCCCGAGGAAAATCCCACCAAAAAAAATTACCCAGGAAAAAATACCACCCCACCATCCCCCCCCCCCCCCCCCTCAAAAAAAAAAGCTTGGTTTCAAATTAAAAAAGTATATATCTGAGCTTTTGTTTGTTAAGTATTTAACTAAAGCCAAATAAGTTGCAAAATTAACAAGATAGAATCGGGAATTGCAACTTTCATATTTTGCATATTATAGTTTTATGGTTTAATACATAAAGTTTATGGTTTAGTACATAAAGTTAGTTTTTTGATGATTAACTACCGTAGTTCATTCTTACAAGTTTAATTAAGTTACTTTAAAATCCCATTCTTAAATAAACTGAATGATCTTTAAAAAGTTTAAAATTATTCGTACGCTTTCAAGATTTTATAAACCCACAAGCGAAAATGTTATTAAAACGTCAAGATATAATTTTGTGTAGTGTTATTTATTGATAAAAAAAACAAAATAGCGTAAATCTGTTACAACTTAGAATATTTTTTGTTGATAATCTTGTTTTTTACAGTGTAATTTTGGTTACGTATAGGTCAAAACTGATAGGATATAATAATTCGATAGATAAAAGCGTGAAGGAATAAATAAGAGCTTCAAGCAATCGAAGCGTGGCCTTCGTTCTTATTTAGCAATGCCTATCCACTTCGCGAAACTCCTGTTTATTGATCAAAATTGCATTCTGGGATGTCCTGCCGGACCTCTTTCACAACAAACACAAATAGTTTTTTTTTAAATTAATAAGCTGTTGCTAAATATCTCAATTTTGTATTCAAGTCATCTCAATTTTGTAACATTAAGATACATCAATTTTGTTAAGATTACCATTAGAATGTTCCAATAAGAATGAAATGGGGAAAAAACGTTTGGTAGGACAAATAAAGTTTTGTTGAACATAAAGTTGGTGTATTTTTTTAGAGCATAAAAGTATATTATTATACATAAAAGTTATTACCATTATACATTAACCAAAGTTATTATTATTATACATTATAACATGACAAAGTCTCATTACAAAGAATTAAATTAAAATGATATCATAATATACCAAAGGACAATACATACAATATTTTTAAATTACAATTTGACTTATTGGGTGGATTTTATGAAATAAAAAATTTATGAAATAAAAAATTCTTATAACAAAAAACATAACAATTTTTTTTTAAATTATCAGCACATTTTATAACAAAAAAAAAAAAAAAATTGAAAAAATAGTTTAATTCAAAAAATAAAGTTTAATTTGCCTAAATTGGATGTGTTGCCAAGAAACTATTTCACCATTAATGTTAATGTTATGCCTTCGTAAATTGTTTCTGAAAAATAACATGAATATTTTTATCATTGGAACGATTAAGCAAACGAAGGCAGCTATATTAGTTGATCCTTGATTACAAACAACACATCTAAAGTGTAAACTTCTTGAACCTTAGAAATGGTTTCACGTAGTAAAGAAACCAAGTCAGCTGTTGCTACTGTTGAATTATTATAAAAATAAGCTATTGGCTGTTTCTATTTTATTGCCTCTAACCATTATTACAAGCCAGATTTAAGCCTGATTTGTGACTTTGTCACAAATGCCCAGCATTTTCCTTTATTGACTGGTTTACCCATTTCTAATTGACTTTTAAAAAAACTAACTTGTATAGGTGATAAGTATTTTCTGGATAAATTTAAATGTTTTATAGACCCATCACAGTTTTTTTAAGTTTTTTTTTTAGATTTCAAATGTTGAACTTGTTTACGTAGCCTAGAATTTTTGACTCGCAATGTTAATAATAACCGTTGAAGTTTTTTGAAATTTATCTTATTAGTTGACATTTTGTTCTCCAAATTACTATCTGAAGTAACAGGTAAACAAACAACTTGCTTTTTCGCTGTAACTAAATGACGTTCAACTGGTGGTTTCCTTTTGCAACCAAGAAGTGTAGGATTTGGAATGTTAAAAATAGTAGGAATTGCTGATTGTAACAAACGTTTCCCACCATTATTTATAGAATAATACATTGTACTTTAAAAATGATTACTGCACAAATAAAAGTTTTTGTTTAAAAATACAAAATCTTATTTTTCTAAATCTTTCCTACAACAGTTGATGTTCCACTGTTTACATCTAAAAATTAAACAATAAAAGAATAAGTCTTAAAATACTACAATAATATGCTTTAAAATACTACGATAATAACTTTATAAACTTTTTATAAAAAAAAAAAGTTATTATAAATAATATATGAATTAGCTTGCCTTTTATCGTCTTTAGGAAAACGAAAAAATGAAATATCTTTACAGTTTTTTCCACTCTTATTTCCGCAGTTTTTAGGAGCACAAAATGATGGCACCGTTATAACTAAGATCAAAATTCTTAAGAGTACATACAAAAAAAACTATTTGCCACTTAATATTATAAAATTTTGAGGTCCGGCAGGACATCCCAGAGTGCTTTGCGGTAAAATTACAACGAATTTTATGAAATTATGCACGACTGGATAGGCTTTGTTATTTAGTGTGGTTTTAGTGGGATAAACATCATAGCCACATATGGGACGCATAAACGCCATCCTATAAAGGAGAGTGGTAAATATATGGTTAACATGTGCTTCCCACACGTGGGCCATATGAAACTTTCACGCACAAATGAAGCGTGGCGTTCGTTCTTATTTAGAGTGGTTTTAGTGGGATAAACATTATAGCCACATATGAGACGCATCAACGCCATCCCATAAAGGAGAGTGGTAAGCATATGGTTAACATGCAAATACCATATATGGCCCACATTAAATTTTCTTGTCGGGTATGGTACTTAAAAATTAACTAATAAAAACATAATTTTGATAATGGGATATCCTGTTTTGGATGATAAACTTAATCATCTAGGTTTTATATGGGATAGTAAAAGCTCTTCCTTTGCCTCACTTAATCGTTCAAGTATTGATAATAGAATACCAAATTTCAGGGCAATAATCCAAACTCTTATTCATTCTGGAATCCGCTTTGCTCATCCAACCTCTAACGTCCAGCTATATAAAAGATTGGCGGTTCCGGTTTACGGAAATGTTTGTATCACATTTGCGTCTCCTAAAAAAAAAGGATCTATTTTTAAGATTTTTTAAGACTTTTAGATTCTGGTGGGGGGAAGGGGGAGGGGATGCATACCCTCATCTCCCCCCGGATCCGTCACTGCAGACGCTACTCTGAAATACGAAACTAGATGGTATGCAAAATACAAAAGTATTTCAATTATTTTTTTGCAAACTTTGAACTGATCTTTGACCAATATAGAATATAGCTCAAAAAGCCATGGCAAAAACTTTTAAAACGTTACAGTACAAAATTATTGTTTGTTTATCCATAACTAGCTCATCAGTAATATGATTTGTCATGCAAGCTCTTTAATCAGCTTAACTGAATATTCGAGTAGTTTTTAATTGTTTACAAGTCCTGTTGAAAATATTCTATACACATAGCAATAATTCTTAAAAGCAGTTTAAAAACATTCATTAGAGTTAAAAAAATCCAAAACGTACCAAAAAAACAGTAACACCATTCCAATAATAGAGGGTTTTGCACCAGCGTTTGACCTAAAAAATAGTTTTCAGGTTTTGATTTTATATATATATATATATATATATATATATATATATATATATATATATATATATATATATATATATATATATATATATATATATATATATATATATATATATATATGTCAATATATTTTAAATTTACACAAAAATATTTAATCAATAATTATTTTGTGTGCCTATACACACAAAAAATATTTAATAATTTATATTTTTTTGGTAAATAGTTTAATTCCTCATAAAGCATAATTTTTTGTTGTTGTTCGTCGTTATACACTTAAATTTATAAACTTTTAAACTTAAATTTTTAATAGAACTAAATGGTGCCTAAAATTAAAAAAAATTAATAAACCTTGAAAGTTTGAATTTTGTTACAATATTTTAAAAAATTTCTAGATTTTCAAAATTTGCAATTTTTGAGATTTCAAAATTGCATAGACAATCCAATAAGATTCTTGTTAGATTCAAAGGTTCAATCCTAGGAGCTTTAATAAACAAGAAAGTTTATTAAAGCTCCTTGGTTCAATCAAACGGCTTTATCTAAAAAGTTATGCGTGCTTAAAACAGAACGGAAGAGTACATGAATAATATCGAGATTTAACAATAATAATAAATTATGTATATTACTTTAAATGTAAAACTAATTTGACCACAATGGAGGAGTATAAATAAGGTTAGGCTGGGTAAATATAAAAATGCAAATAAACATTTTATATTAAATATTAGTGGATGGTTTAAAAAAACCAAAGATATTATACGTACTTTAATAATACTAAATAAATGTACGATATCGATGCATAAATTATCATGAACTTGATTATTAAATTAGATAAATAGAATACCATGAATTGCATGAGCAAAAGATATCAAAAAAGTATAGTATATATTTTATGTAATATTTTGAATACTTTTATAAAACTTATTTTGAAACTGTTTTTGAAAGCTTTTAATACATTAGATGCTAATAAAATATTTTGACTAGTTATTTTTAAAGTCCGAAGTTAAAAAAATTGTAGGGAAATGTTTTGGTAATACTAAGATTGGCGGTTTATTTTAAAATTAGCGATTCATTTTAATATAAAATAATCATCTGATATAAACTGCGTTTATATCAGATGATTATTTTATATTAAAATGAATCGCTATTTAAGAAAAATCATACACTCAATTTAACAATATGAAACTAGAAGATTTATACATTTTTCCAATGGATTAGAAGTGACTATAATGGTAAGAAGGTTGCAAGGTGCAACAACGGTACTTTTAGTTACACAGAGTTGTTGAAACAGCGGTATTTTTAGTGACATAGTGGCGTGGTAAGGTAAAAGTACAGTAATTACTAAACGTATTATGATAATTAATTAGAACAGATAATTATTATAATATATTTTTATTTGTTAAAAAAGATATGTGTGTGTGTGTGTGTATGTGAGTGCGTGTGTGTGTGGCGTTTGTGTGTGTGTGTGTGTGTGTGTGTGTGTGTGTGTGTGTGTGTGTGTGTGTGTGTGTGTGTGTGTGTGTGGTGTGTGTTGTTTGTGTGTGTGTATTATTCGAATAACCTGAAAGGATACCTAATGGTGTCAAGCATTACGGCAAAGAAAAAATGAAAGGGTAATTACCCTTTAGTACTACCTTTTCATGTTTAGCTCACCATTTCACAAAAAGGTGTAAACAAAATCTAATTTAAATCAAGTAGAACAGTGGATCACAGCATCAATTGTGTATTTCCAAAATAGTAATATTTATTTTAAATAAAGAGGGATTTATGTGGTAAGCAGTGCTAAGTCACATAGGCATGGGATTAGCTACTAAGGCAAAAAAATCTTAAAAAAGTTTAAGACACAAAAGCTATCATCTTTTTAGTACTTTTAGCAATACCATAAATAATTCCGTTCCGCTGCTTTATTTTTACCAGAGATTAAAACCACTACCTAACCCCATCAATAAGTGGTTCTGGAGAACAGGTTCTGAAACCTCTATTGCAAAATGGGTTCTCAAAACTGACGGGTTCTAGAACTCTTTAAACCAGGGTTCTGAGCAAAAAAGGTTCTAGAAACCTTTTGCATTTATGATTTTGAAATGTGATTTTTTTTTTTATATATAATTTTTTTATTATCTACCATTTTGAAATGATATAAAACAATTAGAAATACTGTAACAGAGAAAAAAAAATTCCAAAATACACTTGATTAGTACACGACATCATCAGCATAGTTAAATTTTATATTCAAATAATGGCATTTACAGTAAAACAAATTTGTAATACATACAGAAAAATAGTATCACATTTTTAATTCCTTGTGTTTTTTTATATTAATGCTTATGTTATTAATTATTAACATAATTAAGAAAACTTGCTTATTAACATTTTAAGAAAACATTTAACAACTATATTAACATAGTTAAGAAAACATACAATAACATTTTCATTAATTCTATTCTTAAATTCTTAAAAGTTTACTTGCTATGAATCTTAAAGAACTGAACAAACAATCAACTGATACTTAAGTTAATGTACACTTAAAGTAACTTGTGTCATTTCATAATAAAATAGATAAATTAATTACTAATTCTCCCACCATCAAAATATATCATTTTTGTAATCAGGAGAAAAACAATAACTTTTTTCTTTAATATTTTAAATTATTTTTAGTTTGTTTAATGATAAATTTGGCTTTTTCCTTTTGCAAGTCAAGTTTTGTTCTCCGTAGCTTAAAGTGCTGTTTACTTCTGTATATTGTCTTGTGTTTTGATTTCTAAAATTTGTAGATTCTTATTTATGCATTTTTTTTATTTAAAAGAAAAATTTCAAATATTTTATTTTGCATTTATTATTGGAAGCGTCTGCGGAAATCGATACGTTACGTAAAAAAAAAAATATTCTCAATTTTTTTTATAAAAACGAGAGAATAATTTTATAACTAAATCGGCAAGTTTCATAACAAAAACATTAGAAAGTTACAAAAAATCCAAATCTACTTTTTATTTTTTAGTACAAAACCCCGAAAAAATGAAGTTCTAAAAAGTGTTTTGGGACCTTCGAGAAAAAAAGTGTTCGGAAATCCTCAAAGTTTTAGAATCCACAAACGGGGTTACTGAGAAATAGGTTCCAGAACCCTTACGTATAAAAACATTTCTGAGCCCCTCAGGGTTATCGACTATTTCAAATTCGGAACTCTGAAGTGTCCGGGTTAGGAACCGTTTTAAAACTTCTGTTATAAATATAAAATCTTATAAAATTATAAAAACTTAGAAAAAAAGAATAAAGTTTCCCTGCTAAACCTTTTAAATAAAATTTAAAAAGGTTAAGTTGGGGTTTATAGCGGGGGATAGAAAAAAATAATTATTTTATATATTATAAATTTAAGCATACGTTTACAATTTCTTAATATATACATGGTATATACAAATACTCTCATGGTTGCTGCTAAAACAAGCTATCATCTCTAGCTTGATTAACCAAACTTGTCATCGCTTGACTTGTCATTCAGTAAAGCCACATCCCTTTACTGAATCATTTCTTCATGCTATAAAACTTAAAAAGTTGTAGATTGCATGAATCAGGATAACATTAACTTGGGTGAGAGTTTGAGGTTTTGTTGATGAGCGAGGAAAAAAATTACATAAATAAAAAACTTTTATAGCATAAAGCATCAAATATTTAAAATATCAAGTTTGTAAATATTTAGCATTCTTGTTCAGAAAAAAGTTGTTTGGAGTGAGAAAAACGATTCGTAAAATTAATTAAACGTATTGCATGTTACTGACGTCGATAGAGAGATTGTATCTGACTTCTTTCAGTACTTGCCCAAGCAATACTTGCTTAATTCATTTAACTATAAAGAATGAATAATAAAGTTGGGATGAAACTCTTTGATTTATATAGATTCTTGCTTTATAAATCCAATATATTCTTTAGTACATAGTCAATATGTTGCTTCCATGTGATGTTCCATCAAAGAATACACCTAAAAATTTAGAGACGCAACCTTTTTTTACTTCAACTTTATTAATAAAAATATCAGGTAGATTTGGTGGTGAATAACTTTTTTTAGTTGTCAAATGACTAAGAATCCAATTTTTCTTGGTAATATTTAGGGTAAGTTTATTGCATTCGAATCAGTTAAAAATACTTTTCAGCACTTCATTCATAGTAGTAAAGAGTTTATTGATATTAGATAAGAATAATTTATTAAAAAAAGAACAGTTTTATGTAAACTATTAATGTAAATTAAAAAAGGAAGTAGCCCCAAAATTGATCCATGCGGAAAACCACATGAAAAATCTAAAACTTTTTTTTTGATAGGAATCGTTACAAGAGACGAATTGTTTTTTTGTTTGTTAAATAACTTTTAAACCATTTTATAATTATGTCATTCACTCCATAATGTTTAAATTTATGAAACAATATGCCATGTTATACTGTATTGAATTACTTTTGACAAATATAAAAAAATACCTAATGTGAATTGAGAATTTTTACAAGAGTAAAAAATTTTACGGACAAGTTGGATGATTGCATGCTCAGTAGAACTATTTCATTTAAAACCAAACTGATTTTTATATGAAAAACTTTTGCCCTTAAAATAAGTATATATTCTAATGTACATATTTTTTTCTAAGATTTTCGAAAATGTAGTTAAAATAAAAATTGGTCAGTAGTTACATATATTAGCTTTATCTCCATCTTTGTAGATTGGGATAACTTTGGCTATTTCTAACTGATCAGGAAAAACTCCTTAACAATTTAAAAACTTTAAAGAGAATATCTTTTAATTGTTCAAAGCATTCTAAGATGCTTTCATTCATTTCATCAGCTACAGAACTTTGTTTTTTGAGTTATTAATCGTGATGCAAAAATTTCTTTATTATCCATTCTAATCACCTGCGGTTGGAAACCTGAGCAAGTTTTTTGTTTTCAAACCAATTTCTCTTCATATTTTGCAAGTAAGTTTAGAGTCATTCTTAACATTTTCTATTAACATTGAGTAGTAATATTTTTTAAAGTTTTTACAAGTTTTCTATTAACATTGAGTATAATATTTTTTAAAGTTTTTACAAGTTTTCTATTAACAAAATTTTCTTAAATAAAAACTATTAACCTTTGCATATTTTTTCAGTTTTAGGTGTATTTATATATAACTTTTGTTATTTAGGTCATTTATATATAACTTTTGTTTGACCTGAGATGATTTTTTAAAGTTCTTAGTTTATCGCAATCCAGGTGTAAAACAAAAACACGTTGATTTCAGAGGTTGTTAAATTTAACACGTGTTTTATGAGTCAAATTTATATGTTTTTTACTGGTTTTTATATTCGTTACAGATACTTAGTATATTATTATACTACTTTTCCGTAATGGCAAAACCATTATTATCCTAATTGGTGTTTTGGTAAATACTAATAGTTTGTTTCAAATAGTAATAGTTAATTGAAACCTTATTATTGACATGTGTTATTCTTTTTGTTTTAGGGTTTTTTAAACACGCAACAGAAACCATGCGTAACTTTTTACGGCTGAGGTATTTCATCAAAACAATACAATTTAATAGTTTTTTGGTATTGTAAATATAAAAGAATAGAGCAGTTATTGGAATTATGTTTTAGTAAAAACAAATACGATAATTTTATTGTATTGTAAGTACAAAGCATTAAAACAGTTACTGTAATTGTTTTATGTCAAAACAACTTTGATTTTTATTTTTACAATTACAACTACCATGGTCGAAACCCTAGTTTCTTAACTGATAATTTTTTTTTTATAATATCAACTAAAATTATGTTCATTGATAAGTTTTACATTTTGTAAATTAACCTCTTAACGTTCAAAAATGATGACCTTTTGAAGTTTTTAACCCCCAGATTGAAGGGGTTTCCTTGATTTAACGTAACAAATTAAAACTTCAAAATTCAAATTTTACATTTTCATAATTTTTGAAAACTATTTATTCTATGAAATTTTAAATTTATCGGTGAATATTAATTTAGTTGAGAATAGTAAAAAATAAATATTTTATTAACCTGTTGCTCTGAAGAATAAGGCAGGGGAAGCAAAAATTTTTAGATTTTTCTGTTCGCAGATTTCAATGATTGCAATTTTTTGCAAATCATCTTTATTTGACATAACTGTAAATATATAAATGTTTGGAGTGTGCTTTAAGACCAAAAGATGCAGAATCCGCCCTTGGTCCAGTTGATTAAAATTCAATTGATTAAAAAAATTAACTTAAAGAACTAAGTTGAATTTAAAAACCTAATTTAAAAAAATCAAAGTTAGTTTTAATGATATTAGATCTGCAATACAAAAGCAGTTTTTTTATTAAATATTTTTTTATATAATAAAGTATAGATTCAACGTAACATTTTTACGCAATAAAAAAAATTTGTAAATAAAGAACAAACGGAAGTTCTTACTTCCGTTTAATATTTTTCCGCAAATAACTTTTTTATCTCAACTTCCGTTTGAGATAAAAAAGTTAGTTGCGGATAAAAAAAGTTTAATTTTACTGTGATTTAAATTGGTTTTAATTTTTAGTTATTTGTTTTTATTTGTATTTCATGGTTCATTTGGTATTTTATTTTATTTTATTTGGATTATTTTATTTGTTATTTGATACTTAAAAGCAAGTTCTGAAGTTCAAACACAAATTAGAATTGTTTTACAGCAAACACTTTTCAAGAAACTAAGTTTTTTTAAAAATCGAATATTTATATCTTTCTTCATATATAATGATTTAAAAATTCAGATTTGTTTTATTTTGTTTGTTTTATAAAAAAGGATGATCTGCATATGTTTCTTTCAAGAACTTTTATGAATGCTTTCTAATGTGAGTTTAAGGGAATTTTTATAAAGCTTGATTAAAATGTATTTTATATACATTTTAAAATTGTTTTCAATTGTTTTGAAATAAGCTTACGTTTAGAGAATATTTTTTAGTCTAAAAAAAACATAATGCTAACTCCTAAATATAAGTCTTAATGACTTAAATAACAATCTAGATGACATAGATAGGGCTCTTGTCATCAAGACTTATATAATGCTGAGTATGAAGAAATACATTTGAAATAGCATTTAGTTAAAGATTCAAAATATATATGACAATTTAGACAAAAAACCAAACCAAAAAGGTGATTGTAGTTTTCACAAAAAATAATTAAATTTTGGTAAAATTTAATAACTCTAATCAGTTTAAAAATTTCATGTTACATCAGTGCTTGATTAACAAATAGGCTAGACTATACAATTTTGGTCAGAAGCTCTCCTAAGTTCTTTAATTTTAAAATCTAAATTTTTAATTTAGTTAATAATTAGACTATTTTAATGGTCAATCATTAATGCATGTAACATCATTCTGCTTCATTTATTGTATTTAACTTGAATTATTTCTGTACAATTTTTAATCTATGAATTTTTTCTTACTTCAAAACAAAATAAAGTATGTTACATATTTTAATATTAAGAAAAATAAAAATAATAAAAAGTTTTTCTAAATCTAGCACTGTGCATATAGTTAGTTATCTTTCCAATTTCAGTGTTGTATATAAAATGATTATCACACTTATATTATGACTCGAGTATCATTTTTGATACATATATACAGAAGGGGCCAGACAAGTTGTTTTTAAGATCTTAGGTTGACAACAAATCATTGTTCATTTTTTCTGGCAAAATTAACTATAGTTGGTTGCCCTCCTTTAGCCAACCTAAAAACAGTTTAAGGGGTAGCGATGGCTAGCACCTCTTTTACCCCCTGCATATATACATACGTACATACATATATAAAGGCATAAATATCTATATATATTCATATATATATATATATATATATATATATATATATATATATATATATATATATATATATATATATATATATGTATGTATATTTATAAATACATACTATATATATATATATATATATATATATATATATATATATATATATATATATATATATATATATATATATATATATATATATATATATATATATATAGCATCCTAGTCGCAACTTTTGGAGACATGCTTTTTTTGTTCCTGTTCTGTTTTGTTTTTTTACTTTTTTATACTGTTTTATCATATTTATATATATTTTTTGATTTTTATTTTATTTTGATTTTTATTTATATATATTTAAATTTATTATTTTATTATAAAAATATATTTTTTATATCAATTTTTGTTATTTTTATTTATTTATTTTATATTATATTTAATTTTTAACTTCATCTATTTACAAAAACAATTAATTACAATGATATAACCAAATTTAAACCTTGCCGTAACCCTAACCCTAAGCCTGACCTTGATGCCTGGCCAAACCAAACTCTCAGTCGATGTAGCAGCACTACGAGTCAGGCTATTTGATAGTCGATGTACGTACTTTTCTTTCTCTATAAAAGTTTCTTATGGGTACATTTTTTTACAAAAAAAATAATGCTTGCGGGGACAAAAAATTAACGGGTATACTAAAGTGTCCCCGATAATGCTAATGTCCCCGTAAGTATTCTTTTTTTTGTAAAATCTGTCCCCGTAAATGATAAAATATATGTATATATATATATATATATATATATATATATATATATATATATATATATATATATATATATATATATATATATACAAATAGTATTGCGTACTAAGGTAAGCAATCTGACGTCATACTGAAATAGCCTGTTGCTGGGGGCTTCAGTACATATATCGACTGACAAATAGCCTGATTCGCAGTGGAGTACTGCTACATCGACTGAGGGTTTGGGATGGGGAAGCAATGGTTTCATTCATCATTCTTTGTTTTTTCTTCTTCTTTTTCGAAAAACGGTATAGCTTAAGGTAAGCAGAAAAAGTGAGCAAATGCTTATCAAAACACGCTTTAGTAAGTGTATATATACGTATATATATATATATATATATATATATATATATATATATATATATATATATATATATATATATATATATATATATAATATATATATGTATATATATATATATATATATATATATATATATATATATATATATATATATATATATATATATATATATATATATATCAGGAAAGGCTTGCGTGCTTTCCCAGGAAAGGCGTGCGGTCGCACGCTTTTTTGTCGTTTGTCCACGCATTGAATAAATTTTTCAGAAAATGTGACTGCGGCAATATTTCATGGGAAAGCGGAACTTATCCACAAAGAATAAAAAATAATGTTAAAAAAAGGAAACGAAGTCTAAACAAAGTATAAAATTGAAATTGGATGTAAGAAAAATATTTTGATAAAAAAAAATTATAAAAAAAAAAAAAATCTTGTAACAAAAAAAAAAAAATTTTTTTCAAAATTTTTATATTGTTTTTGTTTTCTTTTTTTAGGGTTGCTATTTTCAGCTACAAAATTTGATACAAGTCAAGGAAAAGACGAAAATAAAAAGACTTGATACGTAATTTATTCACGAACTTTATCAGACAATGTATTAAAAAACTGATTCATTATTTACACAAGACAAATTTGATTAAATTTTTTCATTTAATTTAGTTTTTACGAAGGTTTATGCAAAGGCGATGACGTTATTCCCCAATACTTAGACAAGAAAATAAGTTGCTGTTTTAATTATTAAATATATTATTTGAGATTTTAAAGATAACAAAATTTTAATGTAAAAAAAGTTCTCTCTTGACTTATTCTAAACTGATTATACTGAGTCAATGCTCGCCTTTTATTACGTTGAAATTATTCAATTGCATAATTTTGTAATTACAAAAAAAGTTAAAAAAATAATTGCATTGCTTCTGTTGTCATTGTTACGAAAACAGTTCCTTCGGGACATTATTATATTTTAACACTCGTTTACAATGTCAATTAATGTTTGC